TAATAGTGCGTGTGACCCACAGCTCGCGAGAATTCTTGTCTCAGTTCTGTTCTCATTCAGAGTTAAACACTTTCTAACATCACGTTATTATTAGCACTATCACCACGGGGATGAGTACAAATAATATAGTGCTATTACGAGTCATGTGGTATGAGTTATCTCTACCACATTGAATTTTTTTTATGGGAGCTCCAATCTCAAAGATTGGATTAATCTTGAAGGTGACTTCTTTATGGGCTTATGTCCATCTCTCTCGATGATTTATTATGTCCATTACGGACTATAATTAATTCATATCCCTCTTAGACAATAATTTGATATCATCAATTTGCAAAACTTTTATTCTTCACCTGCATCCCTGCAAAATCTTCTAAAATTAGTAAAATATCAATATCACATATCTTAGTTTAATAAGATAAACACGCGAAATTTTAATATTTATTTTAGTAATACGTTTGAACAGATGTCTCCATTCAACACATGTATATTACCAACAATCTTTAGATTCAAGCCGGACACTTTTTCTCAAAATGTTAAATTCATGATAATTATGAATAAATCATGAATAAAGTATATATATTCTGAATACCCTCGCATTTCAAGGGTTTTAAAACACCCCCACTTGTACAATATAATTGAACACAATCATACCCATATATCGCAAAACATTAGACAATAAAAATTAACATAACCATGAAGTATCAAATATGGTTTAACAATATTAATTTAAGCAAACATGCCTTCATAGTAATAAAATAAACATTGGATACAGAAATACTTGCAATTTTGTAATCCAAATTAGCTAAACATTATGTCAAAATTTAATTAGACCATAAACTAATTTTCAAATACAATACATTAAATATTCCACAAAAGAAATATTGTTTCGGTTAAATGAAATTCTAATAAATATAGAATATAGCCCAAATTCATCGTTTACTTGCATTCATTTTAATAACTTAGAATTATGAGGGCTCATATATAATTTAAAATAAATAAATGCCAAATTAATTGTTTTAATTATTAAGATTTAAAGCTTAAATCAAATTGATCATACTGCATGGTAGTATTATAATATGTTATTCAAACGTCAAAATTTGAATTACATATCTAAATTGAATGATAATAGTTAATTTTGCATGTGCCAAAAGTCCTTAACCTTGCTAAGCCTAAACTCTTAAGAAATCATGATGCACATTTCTTGTTTTCTAGGATTCGCGTTTCTCAGTTCTGTACATGCTTCATGGTCAAAAGTCAAATTCGTAAAATCAATCACATCTTATATTCATTAATATGCACTCATTAGGTAAGTATTAATTTATACACATACACGTGCACACAACCATTTAGTATTTCCAAGTAAATTTGAAGTTACCTTACAAATTAATAAGCATGCAAAGGTGAAGACAAAATGGAGAAAATGATAGTTAGTCGGAGAAATAATTTTATTAAACGTAAAAAAATAATAATAATAATGAAATTTCATGTCCCTTTTATAGTGTAAAAGTTCAATCCCACCATAATGAAAATTAATTCATTAAAAAGACGTTATATCTAATATAATGATATTTTAATTTTATATTAAATCTAAAATTGAATATAAACCTGAAAAATAAAAAAATGTATTAATTTTGAAATTTAAAACTTATTAATATATATGTTACAACAATATATTGTCATACCGCCCACAACTAATCCATTTAAAAGATAAGTTACACTCCATAATTAAGATTGTTAACTTTCTACTAAAATTGAAAATTAAGATCAAAATTGAAAATTTAAGAAGGTTTTAATTTTGAAAGACTAAAACTTCATTTATATGTTACACATGGGATGTAAATAAAATTATGCAGATTAGTTATGAAATTGCACCTTTTAAAATATTAATTCAACATATTTTTCATAAATTATAGACTTTACATTTGGGACCTATTATTGTGACTTACTGTAGTTCCAACACATCGATTCCTTTGGACGTTTCAGTAAAGTGGCTCTTAAAGATTATAGTTATGAAAAGGAATTCACGTAAGCAGCCCACATTTGGTAGATATATTACTTAGCTTATGCTACTTGTTGAAGATAATGACCACAATATTATAAGGATAGATATTACAATATGATCCATATGTGCTACATCTCATCTCATGTGCGTACTTAAATAACAAGTACCCAAACATAGTAAACATTTTTATAGATTATGCATCTCTCTCCAAACACATAATCATCAAACACAACTTTAGATTGTTGGGAAAAATGAGTTATTTGTATTTAGATAAATTATTAATTAAAAAATATGAATAACAATAATTTTATAACTGTATAAACATAACAATATGATATTAATATAAATATTATAATTCAATAATAAGAAGAGGTTTAGAATGCAAGCTTTAAGAACTAATACGTATAAATATGATACAAATGCAATAGGTTCCTCTAGTAGTAGTATGTCTACCGCATGTAATCAAACATTGAACGCAAGTCCACATTCATTGCCTGCTAAATTAATTGATTACTTTAATCATAATATGACTAATAACAAAATAAATAAATAAAAAAGTTCAGAAAAAGTAATTCAATTCTGGCGAAAATACAAACGACGATGGCTAATGATTTCTACGATTGCAAAGACCTACCAACACCTCTGGATAGCATTATTACTTCAGAATATGTTTTTAATGCAGGTAAGAGGGTACTATCCGAGGTCAGGAGCTGGCTGAAAGAAGATATTTTGGAAACATTAACGTACGTGAAGGACTGGCAAGACGTTCATTTTGGATTGCAAAATAAATATGTCGAAATTGCATGTCGTTAGATAAATGATATTTAATCTAACCATATTAATTAAAATTTGTTATTTTATAATATTGTTTTTAATATTTTTAAAAAATTATATATGTAACAAGTTGTTCGTGTACAATTTTTATCTCTATCCACTCGAAATTTAAGTAGTCGGTTTCAAATCCAAATAAGGGAGGAGGGATGCTTGAGGATCGAGCCGAGCATGGCACCCAAGCAACGAGCCGATCATAAGCTCGTCGGTAAAAGGGCCGAGCTGATCATTGCCATCACTATGTGCATGTGTTAGTGACAAGATTAATTTGATGATGAGCAATAGAGTGTATAGGTATAAATTTTAGAGAGTGATGGGGTCAAAGATGAAGTTCAATGAGTAAAACGTGATGCTATCCAAAGTTTAGTGTGCATTGTAATAATTAACTCGGTATTTTAAAAAATGTATGGTTAAAATTAAGAATTTTTTTTTTGCTCAACGTATTATGAGTACCTTCAAAAGTGAATATAGGATAGATATTTGAATATTCACTTTGGAACCAAATTTGATCAATCCTCTGCTCTTCGAAAAGGGGGGACAAAATAAAGATATTGTTGTTTTCTCTAAAAAAATTATTTTTTATCTCTTAAACAAACACTTAAAACTTATTTGTTTGAAATGGATAATTAGCACAAAACATTCATACATTTCATTATTATTGTGCAAAACGTCCATACCTTTCATTTTTTAATATTTTCATCCTCATTTTATATTTCATTGCGAAAATCGTTATTTTCATCCATTTTCTCAATTTAAAATTTTAAAACTGTAAAGTGACAAATATATACCACTCTTTAAATAAACAAAAATATAGAAAAAGAACAAATTGCAACTTTATTTCAAAATTTTCAAAAATGTACAAATAAATAATTAAAAAACGTGGTTTTTTAATTATTTATTTAAAATTTATTTGTACTTTTTTTTTGAAAAATTTGGGAGTATAGTTGCAATTTGTTCTTTATTTTTCTTTTCTTTGTTTTTGTTTATTTAAAGAGGATGATATATTTGTCATTTTACAGCTTTTAATTGAGAACGTGGATAAAAATAATGATTTTTGCAACGAAATAAAAAATAAGAGTGAAAATGTCAAAAGTGAAAGGTATGTACGTTTTGTGCTTACCCTTTTAATAATTTATTTGGACTTATTTGTATTTTTTAAAAAGTTTGAGAGTATGATTATAATTTATTCTTTAACTTTTCTTTTCTTTTTTATTGTTTTATTTAAATAGATGGTATATTTATCATTTTACATGAGAAATTTGATGAAAATTGTGATTTTTGCAATAAAATGTGAAGGCAAGGGGTAAAAATGCAAAAAAATGAAAAGTAAAGACGTTTTGCACAATAATATTGAAAGGTAAAGACATTTTGTGCTAATTTCCCGTTTGAAATTATACATGTAAAATAACTTTACTCTCATAAACTAATTCAAAATAAATATATTCTTATAGAGCAACTAGCGGATTAATTTCACAAACGATCACTGAATTTACGCGAAAATTACAAAACGATCACTGAAATTTAAAACTTTCAGAAACTGTCACTTAAGTTTCGAAAGGTTTTACTAATGGTCACTAAAGTTTTTAAAACTTGCACAAATGGTCACTGAAGGTACCAAAATGATTCTAATTCAAACTTTAGGACCAAAACACTTGACCATACAAATTTTTGACGACCTCAGGTGCAACCTTTCGACTAGTGGAGCAAAGATGGTGCATTTTGAGGATTTTGCGTCACCACCTATGGACCACCACAACTCCAACCTCTGACCACCTTGTCGCTGGACCAACATACCACCTTGAAGCCCCCACCTCACTCTTTCCAACTCACCCAACCAATGGCTGAAACTCCATCGGATCTGCCAGAAATTTCTGGTCAAAGAAGGCTGCCCATGCAACCAAAAAGGGCCAAAAATTGCAACAACGAACTCAGACCATTCAGCCCCAATTTTCAGTGTCGACGACGCTATCCACGGTCGCGAACCACCACCCTTATTTTCGCCTCTTCGTGGCGCATCCAATGAACATATGAGTTACTGCCAATTTCAAACCAAACAAATAAAAAAATAAAGGTCTCCAGTTGTTTTTATTCACAGCGAACTCGAACCATTTAGCCCCAATTTTCGGAGCCGATGGCGCTACCCACGGTCGCGGACCACCACCCCTAGGACCACCTCTTTATGGTGCATCCAATGAACCTATGGATCACCGCCAATTTCAAACCAACAAGGTTGAATCGAACTAGGCAGTCCTGCGCATTTAACAGAATGAGAAATCAGATCTGCTTCCTTCTATTCCTCCTCCTCACATCATTGAATCACAACATTGGTCACAATCGAGTCTCCAGCAGCATCATACGAACTTAGGTAACAATTCAATTGCACCAATTAATCCAGAAACGACCCCAACCATCAAATTAAGCCAATTTTTTTGCCGGGGGGGGGGTTTAAGGTGGCCGGAAGTTTGCTCCTGAGGTCCTCAAAAATTTGTATGGTGACGTATTTCGGTTCTTAAGTTTGAATTAGAATCATTTTGGTACCTTCAGTGACCATTTATGCAAGTTTTAAAAACTTCAGTGACCATTAGTGAAATCGCTCGAAACTGAAGGGATCATTTCTAAAAATTTTAAACTTCAGTGACCATTTTTTCATTTTTGCGTAAGTTCAGTGACCGTTTGTGAAATTAACCCGCTACTAGCAAATTGTTCCTTCCATACACCGTATTCTACAAATTTCCCAGCATAATATATTGCAAACTGGTAATGATTTTACCATAATTTTTGGGGGAAAAAAGTGAATTTATTCGACATAATTTATTTCTTGCCTCGAGTTTCCAACTGGAAAAGAAAACTCCCAAATGCCTCTGTTTAGTTATCTTTCACAGAAAATCTCTACTCAACTTTACCAAAATTCAACGTATATAGTTCTGCAAAAACTGTTATTTTCTTATTTGCATTTTGCATATTTGAATTTGATTTAATTAATCTATCAGTCTACTTTCCGATGAATTACTGCTTTGTCTCCTCATTTCTATTTTTATTTGCAGCCGTTGGCGTTATTCTAAGCTGAAATTTTTCTTCAAATAAAAAAGAATTCTTTGTAGCAGTTGAGCTACTGCCCAGTTATACTTTCGTCAGTAGTTCAACTTTGGAGCAACTTTTGGAATTAGATTTTTGGGAAACGTAAATAGATTGAATGAGGTCAAAGATGATGCAGTGGGAGTCAGACCCTTTGTTCTCCGCTGCCGAAATTGTTCAAGAGTCAGCGGACAGGTATCTCTTTTTTTAACATGTTCGTCTATCTTTATGCGTGTGTGGACTTATTATTTGTTTGTTTGTTTGTTGATTGACTAAATTATGTGGGGAGCTCATGTTTGATTATTGTGTTCCATGCTTCACATCAAAATAATCTTGGGTTGGTTTCAGTTTGATTCTTTCCTGGGCTATTGACTTTGAATAAATTGGAAGGGTATAAAACACTTGAAACTGCAAGAAATGTTGGAAGAAGTAAATCTGTGAGGATATTTGTGATCTGGGTTTTTTCTCCAAACGGTCTGTAGAATTAATGAATTCTGCGAAAAAAAATCATTCTTGTCAAGATATGTGGTGTGCGGTATCCTTGCCTTGCCAGGTTCAAGAATGCTGACCACGGGTCAGATATTTACATGTATAGATTCTTGTGCATCCTCTGATGAGGTCCAGAATATATGGAAAGAGCATAATTTAAACTTATTAGGTGCCATCAAGGTTGAATTTGAAAATTACTATTGAAATCAAAGGCAGGGAAAACAAAACTTTATTTTTCTTTGGCGCATGTGTGTGTCAGGTTGGGGGATCGGGGATGGGGGAATGGCTTCCCTTCCTTGCTTCCTGCTGCCTCTGCCATTGTATGAGTACGTGTTAGGTATATAAATGCTCTTGTAGGGTATTTCGTTTAACCCTTCAATGATTCTTATTATGCTTATGAGTTAAACTTCTTTAAGATTGCATATTCATGGTGAAAGTGTCATGAATTGATTTTCATGCGTTCATGTAATTGTATAGTGCTTGCTAAAATAATGGTTTCTAATTCAGTAATCTATAGGTTTGATTTGATGCATTGGTTGTTGACGGAATGGGTTGGAAGTAAGTTAAATTTGGCATATTTGCCTAGCTCTTAGTTGGATTCATATTACACTGCAAGTCAAGTTTCACCGCTATAGTGATCTGTGATTGGGTTGAATCATAAAATTCTTATTCTGTTGTGTTGTCAATGTTAATGGAGCATGTTTGGTCTTACTTATTTACTTATAAGCGAGGAGAAAGAATTAGGGAGCTTCCTGTACACGTACTTGAAACTATGGTTTTATCTTATTTGCATTTCTTTTCCCAGATATTTATGAAAAAGCATGTGGATTGCAGCATCTTTATTCCTTAAAACTTCCTGATTTCCTATCTAGGATGGAGTCGACTTTTCGCCTTCTATTGCATGAACGAAGTCTTGTTCAAAGAGATCATACAGACACAAGAGTGCTTAGTTCTATAGAACATAACCAGCGTGATCTCACCACTGCTCTGGAGACAGCAAAATGGCAGGTATTATTAGTGATTACCAGTTCTCTCTCTCTCTCTTTTTTTTTGCTAAACTCTTAGCATCGTCACTTTTGCTGCCAGCTTGAAGACTTCGAGAGAGAGGTAAATTTGTCGGCCTTGAGAGACGATTCTCAGAGGAGGCAAAATGCAATCACAAGACATAAACAATTCATTGAGGCTATTAGAGAACAAATAATTTATGTGGAACAAAGCCTGGAGAACACATCAGTAAGAAAATCATTGACAAATATGAACTTGAATGAACAAGACAGAAATGGATTGGCATTGTTTCTTTCAGGGGGAAAACCTGTTGAACACATTTCAACTCATGACTCCAAAGATAATACTAGCAGGTTTTTTGATCCTGCTGCCTCATCTAGTTCGAATGACAATATTTCTGAAAGAAAAGCTGGTGAAACTGCAAATCTTAACATGAACATGTTTGCACATTTAAATCGTGATTTGAATTTGAAGGGGGATAAGTTAAGGAAAGTGGGTTTACTGCATTCAACAGAAATGGGATTTGAACCATCATCTTCCATTCAGAATGCTGCCAATGGCAGTTATAATGAGAATGGGAGTTGGGATTCGGAAGCTAATGAGGCCAAAGATAAGAACCACTTTCCAAGAAGTAAGCTGAGAGGCTGTTGTTGGATCATGAGTATATTAGGGTCCTTGGGAAATTTATTCTCCATTTATGGGAGTAGGGCTAGCAGAAGCTTTGCAAAGAGATTGAAAGATGGCGAGGAACAAATACATTCTCCACGTTCCCCTGAAACGCAGGTATTTTGCAACAAGTCACTTCTGAATCAAAGATTATATTATGGTTGCCATTTATGGTATAATGGACCTTTTGACCTTTTGATGGATTTCAAAGCTAAATGACTAAGTGCTGAAACTTTCAGTTCTAAATTATAGCAGTACCTGATTTACCATTTGATTTGCAGATGGTATTGTATTCTTCTCAACCTAGTTAAAATTATCAGTCTAATTGACAATGGGATAACTTCTTTTCATTGTTATTTTAGTACATACATCATTGAAGCAACTAACACTATTACAAATTGAGTGCGAATTTTTACCTTCATTGGAAAAGAATTTGATCAACTTCTCAAGCAATAATTAGACCTTGAAGATGGAAAATGGCCAGTAGAAGCATATGTAATTTCATTGTCATTTCAATTTGTGGGAATAGAACATGTCATCAGTAAAGAAATTCAAATCTGGTTGAATTATAATATGTTTGCTAAAACGTTATTAATAGAACTGACATATATCTTATCAGAGTAGAGAGCTTAGATTTTGAGGCATCCTTTAATTGAGATCATTAGAAATGACTTCAATTTACCAATGAACCAAGCTTTATTCAGTTCATTCATAGTTTTCTTGAGAAATCTTGAGTTCTATTTGTTGACTTTTGATATGTTTGTGCATAGTGAATTCTTTGAAGGGCTTTAATATTTTGTAATTTCTATAATTGACCCTACCTATAGCATTGCTAGTGCTACGTATTGAAAATATGCAGAGACTCTAATTCTTGATTCTTGGGTAAAATTACCTGTCTAGTATTAGGCTTAGACTATTCTAGGAAGTGTTGATTTAGTCAAATTTCAAAATGGTTTGTCAAATATTCTTAACCTTGTTTTAGGGATCTTATGTTGGATTCCTTAGATTATTCATTCTATATAAATCTGTGAATTCTAATGTAAATAATAGCATACAATTGTATTCTAAATGGATAAGTCAGTCTAATCCTATTACTGAGAAGATGAGGTTTTTTACACCATCAATTAGTAAACTAATTTTGCCTTAATGTGTGCTCTGAAAGAGTGTTATATTTTAATTGGAAAATGGAAGCTGTTGCATACTTCTTGTTGATGTATATTAAGGAATCAGACCCTTGTCTAACTGCACTGATATTTGCGAACTAAAATTTGTGAATACGATGTGCGTCTAAAAGATGATTCACTCCAATAAATTAAATATCTTGTGTCTGTAACCATCTATTATTCTCATTTCTTTGTTTCTTATTGACAGAGACATCTTAGACGACTGTTGTCAACTTGTGGATGTAGTGGTTTTCATTTACCATGTCCAGAGTTGTCGGCACGAGTCATGCACTTCTGTAGCAGGATTAGGACATATATAGAAAGATGCCAGATACCTCTACGTCGTATTCAAATCAGTCGACATTCAATACTGTTTATATCAGCCATGTTATTGATAATAATTGTTTTAGGTGAGCGCATGGTTAGAAATTTCTATATTTCTTATTTATATATATTGATATTCTGTTTAGATGGTTAATATATGAGCATATGATCATAATCATTGTAGAATCATTGACCTACTTCCCCGTAGATGTCAGTCCTCCGGCGTTCCTTTCTCTTCTGTTGTCATAATGAAATTTCTAGAGTGGTCATTGTTCATTAGGCAAAGAAGCTTTAAGAAAAACATGGTTTCTATCCTGTCCTCCTTCCTCCCATCCCTACTCACCGTAACAAATGAATTAAAAAAGGGTTTAAATATGTCACTCCTATGCCTTTTACTATTCTTGATCCGACGATGATTATTCAGAAGTCTGTTGGAAGCACTAGACAAATATTATATGTGGAATGCGTGATCATTTCATCTCAAGTAATTGCTAATTCCTAGGTCTTTCTTTATATAAGTTGATTGCTGCTACTCATAATTGATTTATGCTCTTTTGCTTTACTTCCCTTTTATTAAGGAAAAAGGATCTAGTGAACCAAATGAATGGTTTTGCTTCTGCCATCTTTTTACAATTTCCACTCTTATTTTTTTTCACTAGAAATCTCGGATGCGCTTGTCATTAATGGATGGCCTTTTAGATGTCCTTAGTTAAAACATGACAATATTTTACTTTTTGAAGTCTTTCTGTGAAAGCCTCAAACTGCTGTCTTGCTCCAACATTTACCTTGCTGTCACTGAAACATGCTTGTGAGATGGAAAATACCAAATCAAAAGTAGCCATTTTGTAAGATAATGCATACGTCTGTCATCCTGAAATTTAGGCTGTGCCCACTTCTTCTTCTTCTTCTTCTTCATTTTTTTGTTGAAAATCTGTAGTTAGATCGGTAAACTATTTTGGGGAATGGAGACTAGTGTGTTATCTCTTGAAAGAGAAAATTTCCTACATATATCGAGACATTGAGCAGTTTATAGTATTTATATTTTCTTTTTCACCATGACCTCCTACAAGGCTAGAAGCTAAGCTCTGTATTTGGAATGGACATCAAATGTTCCTTAATTCACTTGAAAGATAGGAAAACTTTAGTTTCATGAATGATATCATTTTAGTTCATCATCTTGCCTTAATTGAATTTTAGGACTGAGTTCTGCCGCAATATGACAGGCTTAATCCTTTTTTGAATCGAGTACATGCCATTGAAGGGGAAAATTTGTAGAAATTTCCTCTTATCCCAATTTTTATTCATAGGGCAAGAAGATGGTTTGCCAGTGCAGTGTTTACTGCAGGTCCAAAATGATATCATCACTGATAAAGTGGATGGATGTGCTATAATTAGTATTGAAAACGAAGTCAGGGGAGTTCATTCTTCTCCATTTTATTTTTCCTCTTGTTCCCTTCAAATTATCTTTCCTTCTTTCTTCTTTTCAATTCATCAGGGAAGAAAAAACTCTTATTAGTCATCTGTCCTGGATATACCGTCCTTTCAAATGTAATGGGTTTGAGCAAGAACTAATTTTTACATGAAGTAGACACTAGGTGTTTTAGATTCAAGGTTGCAATTCTTAGTTTTTAACGGATATTATTCCCTCATTTGATGAAATTGTCAACATATTCAGTGCATGTTTGGTAAGTGATTAAATTAAAATATAAGTGCTTATAAGTTGTGGGTCCTAGAGAATCAGAATGTCTTGATATTAATTTGAACTATAAAATGTGTGGATAAAAGGTATATTTGACCAATCACTTCCAATACATGCTCTAAGTCTTTTGTTTTCTATGCCGAAGTTGTCATCAAAATAATATAATAATCATTTTTTCCTTTTGTAGGTCTCTTGTTATCTCAAGTTGCTTGAGCAGCAGCATAGAGAAATGGAGAAATACCTTTTCTTGATTTCATATGCTGCCCTGTTGTATAGGGTACTGCATCATATCTATTATACACTACATAAGCTTGTTTGGTAAGTTGGTCCGTGACGTATTGGACAATGCTAAGAAAGAAAACGACTATCTAGTGTCGTGTATAACAAATACATGGCTTCAAATAAGTTATTCAATTGTCTTGCAATTGGGTGATGAGATTCTGTAAGTTGAGTTCTATTGATTTGTACAAAACCATTCATTGCTTGTCGCGTGGATTGTAAAATAACGGCTTGTTCTCTCTTTTATGATGCTTATTATAAACCTAATGAGTGTTTTTTAATTATAAGATAAATTAAAGCAAAATTGAAATTTACAAGTACTCAAATTCTTTTGATGAAATTTACAAGAACGCAAATTTTAAGCTGATCTTAATAAAATTTTGATCTAGGGGAATTGCCTTCGCATTCCCAGAGAGGGGAGCTTCTTTCCCTCTCCAACCCCAAGGCGACTTCACTGCAAAAATCGATTTGCATCTTGATTTCACAGAGCGATGATAATTAAGTTTCACAACTTAATATTTCATTAGTTGAAAATGTTATTTGGTTCCTTCTTGGCAAGGTAACAATATTAGTAACATTTTTCTTAAACTATCGGAAAAATAACATTTGACTTTTATTTAAGAAAAATTCAACTTATTTAAAACAATATATTTGGAAACAAAATTGTAACAGAGTTACTTTTTTAAATTGGAATAATTAAACATGCAATGGACATTCACACACAACTTATATGAGATAGCTTTCAGTCTTTCACAAGGATTCTTGCTAAAAATAAAGTAACATAGAGAGCAGTTCGCTTGAGGAATAGGGGTTGATAGAAGGAAACTCCTATGCAACAGTTTATGATTTCCAAACTAATAGGGACAAAGAGAGACATTGACATATCAAATTTGTTTCATTTCCCTTTGACCATATTAGAACTGACACCAAAAGAGAGACCAGTTAACTAGGGGTGCCAGGGGAATGTGTTCTAACTTGGATAGTTGCACGAAAATGGGAAACGCTCGACTCAACTTAACGCAAGGGCTCATTGCAGATCTGGCATAAAGCAATACATATATATTATCATGTACAATTTTGTATTAATTTGGGTAGGCAGGTGCAGGTGAGACATATATCGAGAGAACAAGTAAAGGCTCTAAAAGCTCGATTTAGAGTAACATTATTTAACACTATTGATATTAAAACATCAGTATAGATGGCATTAATGTGATATTAAATAAGAAGTATAATTAAATGAGTAACTTAAATTCAGCTTTAATTGAACTTATCATATAGTACCACCTACATGTCCTAAATTGGTGTTAAAGCACCAATGAGGTTAGATAATATTATTCCTCGACTCGAAATGAGAGGCAAAAAAAATTTAAATCCCATATAGACGCTGCATGGGTGATAGATATAGTACCCCCAACATGTCCTAGACTAGTGTTATAACACTAATGAGGTTAGATAGTATTATTCCTCGACTCGAAATGAAATGCAAAAAAAATTTAAATCCCAAATAGACGATGAATGGGTGAGAGTGTGAGACAAAGTTATACAACGTTGTACTGAACAAAGTTTGTAGGTAGAGCTAGACTTCGTATAAGGCCTACCAGGCAAAGGCCTTGGGCCTCAACATTTTAGGGGGCTTACAAAAAAATTTCATCCTAGCATTTCTCTTTTTGAATGACAGATTTTAATTTAATTACCATTGTTGATTAAACCAATGTATTTTGTAGGGAACTCAAAGCTTAAAGGATTTAGACTTAGATATCTCATTTATGCATAGGTGTAAAGAAAGGACATAGTAGTGTTGTTTTTTATTAACTTATTGTTCTAAATTCATTAAGTAGTTAGAATTGTTTGTTCTCTTTCTCTATAATGACAAGATAATAAATTCGGTGTCCTTTTGCTGGCATTACTATTATTTATTTATGTTTCTTCTAGTTTTTCAATTAAACTTGAAGAAGTATACAAATTGAAAATTTTTTCACAAGCTGTAAATTAACTTCCTTATTCAATTCTTAGTACCCCGTTAACGGAATTTCCAAAGGAAAATAAATAAAAACAGGAAAAGTTATTTTGTTCAAGTATCGTCAAGAGTAAAAAATATCTTTGAAAGGCCTTATAATAATTAGTCATTTAGGACCTCAAAATTCTTATAACGGGGCCCTGTTTGTAGGGATATATACACAACGTGAGACCTATGTTGTCGATGTAGGAAAAAAATTGTTATGGGGGCATGCAGCTGGTATGGGAAGTTGTCACCAGATCTATTTCATATATACTACAATGCATGTGTTTTTTTGTAGGTGGTGTCTCTTCACGGGGCTTGAATTTTCAAATACACATGATTTAATTAAATTCCCAAACATACATTTTAATATTGACCAATCTAATAATTTCTTCCCTTAGGAGTTAATAGATGAAGCATTATTATAAGGATAGAATTTCACATTGAATTAAGATAAAAATATTAAGGGTGCGTTCCCTTTTGCGTTTTGGGCCATTTCCGTTTTCCATTTTCTAAAAAATCGAAAACGCGTTTGGTCGATTATTTTCGAAAACGCATTTCTGAAAACAATGGAAAATTAAACAAAAAAAAAACCCAAAACGACTTTTTGGCATTTTGAGTGTTTTCAGTTGAAAATAATCAGAACATGGAAAACACTCAAAACACGGCATTTCCTCTTCACAGTTCATCTCCACTGTTCCTCTCTCAGCTCTCTCCTTCTACTCACTTTTCCGACGGCCAAACCACCACCTTTCGGCTGCCAAACCACCGGATGCAATCACCATCAGCCTCGCCTCCTACCCCTCTACAATCTCCAACCAACCACGAGCCACAAATCAACACGAAGCAACAGAAAATCCAGCCCAAAAAACGAATGTCGCAACCCCTTTTCTGTCGGAATATCCACCTCCGGCGACGCCCACGATCGTGCACGACCAACACTCGATAGCCCTCATCCTAGCAATCAATATCATGTCCTAACATCAACCAATAATGCACCAATTCGTTCTAATGTGAATCAATCAAACATGGCAGTCGCAAACCAAACCTGCCTACTTCGATTCGTGTTTCTGGCGATTGGCTCAAATATGTATGTATGTATATATATATACACACACACATACTTCTTTTTTTTTTTTTAACTCAAAAATGTATAGATCCAATGGAGCATTAATAAATATCATTTGTAAGATGACTCAATGCGTCCAAGCACGTTCCATTGATGTATTAGAAATGATACCTTTGTTTAGATGTAAAATTAATGAAATTGCTTATGACCCAAGGATTGAGTTGAGTATATTTGTTGTAAAAGAAATGAATCCGCATGTCCGATGGATTTCATTTAGTGTTCGAATTTATTTATGATATGAAACAACTCCTGATATGAAATGTATAAAGGAATACAAATCATTTCAAACACCCAAAATTATAACTAAAGAACACAAAAAGAAAGTACGAGAGTTAATTTACTCTCCTTTCTATCGATCAGTTGACAGGAGTTATAATTATAATTTACAACATTAAGAAGAGCGACAAAAATTCGCAAACTTTATGAAGTGAATATGAATGTATGCAATCATATTCAACCAATTTTTGGGTCCAAGGAATATTGACAACTAGATAATTTACAGTTTTCACTCCAAAAACAAAATCTGTTCACAATACTGAATTCATTAAACAAAAATATGTAGCACGAAAATAAAGAGTAATTCTATTCAACCTCATTGATACTTAGCATCGATCTATATGATGTGCTCTGCTGTACTAGTGAGGTTGAATAACATTTTCCAAACTAAAATGATAAAAAGATTTAAAAGAAAAAAAGGGTTTTCACTTTTTACCTCAGAATCTACAAGGAAATTTTTTATCGAAAATGCCATGTCATCAGATAATCTCAATGTCAACAATCTAAGTATGACTTTCAAGCAACCCATAATTAACTGCTCTGATTAATGTCCTCTGCGGACAAAGACTGGGACCTCCGACCGGATGCAAACCGCATCATCTCTCCCAAACCGGGCGGCTCAGCTACTGGTTCAACCGAAAACGGAATATCACGCACTCTAATACTTGCACACTTCCTCATCGGCTCGACCACCGTTGGCTCCTCCTCTTCTCTTCCACTTCTGCATCTAACCGGTTTTTTATGACCCTTCTTGGGCCGGAACATACTAATTACCTTTGAATAAAACCCGGTTTTTAACTTTTCACCATCGATTCTTGGTTTGTCATCCGGTTTCTCATTCTTTTTCAAGGAATTTGATCTACGCCGGCAACGCTTTGATCTAACTCTCCCCATGCAAGAAACCTTCGGCGAAGATGGTTCAGCCACGGAAACTGTCGTCCTTCCAACTGACTCGGGCCGTTTTGGAAACAGCCTTATATTGGCCGGTTTGCAGTTCTTTCTTCTGGAGTCAACATGGGTGGTTTTCTGGGTTTTTGGCAGTCCAATCATTGAGACCTTGGACTTCAAGTTAGCGGAAAACCGCTGAGAGTTGGAGTTTGAACCGGGGTTTATGTTCGAATTCAGGTTGGTGGCTGAGTTTGAATTGCCTTTGGTGGATTCTTTGCGGTCATAAAAGGCGTGTCGATCAAACCAGTCATATTCTGCGTCCTTTGATACGCGAAAAGATTCCGGCGGGAAATCCGGCGGCATGTTAATAGGGTTCTCGTCATTTTCTGGTGGATAGCTGTTTGCGCCGCCGTCTACCAGAGTTTCACAGACGATTTTTCGGTCATTGCCTCCAACAGTGCAGGCTGTAACTTGGACTTCAACATCAACTCGAGGCATTGGACTTGTAAGAGAGAACTGCAAGGACTTTTAGTGAGAGAAACTTAAGAGTTTTAAAGAGAGATAACTGCAAGGTGATGGTGGGAATGGAGGACTTTTAAAGGTTACAAGTCTGAAGTTAAATAAAGTCGAAATTGACTTTGTTTTGTATATTTAATTAATTGTTATTCTTAATTGTATCAAATTAATGTCACAAATGATTATCGTTTAAGTAAAATTTTAAATTAATCATTAAAGTATTTTTTCAATCCATTTAGTCACTAAAATTAATAATGTCACATATTGGTCAATCCTTTAGGGGTATCCACTCTAGATCCTACATCAATCAATTAAACCTTCACCTCCGTTGATAATCGATGTATCCATGCTATGAAATTGTAAAATCTTCAAAATGAATGCGACTCATTAGAAAAAAAATAATAATAATAACTTTAGTCCAAAAATTCAAAATTGTCGTTTTAACTCTAGACCTATTTTTCATTTATTAACAACAGTAAAAAAAATCTCGATGGAGCAAAAACAAGAGGACGGTTAGGAGGAATCGATAGTTCTAACTATCATTAGTCCACATAAAATTTTAATAGCTACTATATTGGATATGATGTTAATAAGATTAGGGAAATTCCGTATGCACATAATTTAATCTCATAGAAGTCTGCCAGAATAAAGACAATATGTGGGCCTCATTTGTAACAAAAAAATGTCAAAAAAATCACTCACTCACCCTACTTGTGAGTTGCCAGTAAAGGTTCTGTAAAAAAATTTTTTTGCTGTCAGTGCAACATGATCCATAAGATTAATAGAGTGATCAATTATGTACTTAATTTTAGTGACTAAAATTACTTCAATGTAAAATTTGAAATTTTCCTTCAACTTCAACAATATTTTGTGAAATAACTATATTTGTATCTTTTGGAGGGAGATTCATCGGTTTGCTCGTGGCCCTGTTCTAGTAGCGGGGTCCTTTTGGCATTTGCACACACCTTTCTCTGTTGAATAAATAAAACAGCTAACGTATTTTCGTCAAAAATATGCAAAAGCAACTTTTAGGAAAAGAAAAATTAAAAATATTATTCACCTCTATAAAAATGTTTTTAGAATAATTTGATTGCCAGAATAAAATTTGGGTGGAAAGAAAACGAATTTCAGGGAATTGAATTGCCTAGAACTTGTTTCCCTGGGAATTATCTGTTAATCTTTAGTTTTAATCATGTTAAGAATCGATAATCACAATCCAATAAATTAATAGAAACGAATTCATACCTGCGGAAGCCATTGTTGATATGAATTATAGTTGTAATAACAGCCAATATCTTCCCCTCCTTACTCCTCACAAAAGTATTAGCTATCAATGGGGCAAGTCAATAAAAACATATGGAGAGGAGAGGGGACCTAGCCTTTAAATATAGGAAATAATTTGAGCCGTCCCATTACGACTAGAATTCTAATTAGGGTTTATTTTCGACCCACATATTTTAAATTACCACATCAAATTAATTACAACCCGTAAGGTGTAAAAGGCACAATTGATCACTTAATAAATTTGGCCCAAACCCAAATATCATTATGAGCCATACATCTAACCCGTAAAATCTGCAATAGAATGTGAAGCCCACATATGGAATTATTAATTATTCCAACATTTTCCCACTTGGGCAAACATTTGATTGTCATAACGAAGTTTTAACACCTGGGTTAGACTACATAGGTGGCCACAAAAGTATAGCTCCAATGATGACACCTTACGTAACATGATCCGGTCTAACAAGAATATTAACACCGAACATGGAAGTTATTACACCAATTAAGCAATGTAAGACCATTCCACAGCTACAAATGTCAACATCCTCATCGACATGGATCCCCATCCTCCAACCAATGTAATAGTATGTGGTATGAACTTAGCACCAAATGTGATAAAAAATTGTGCTAACTCATATCGGTCCTCATAATACTTCGAATCAAAATGAAGCCACATGTCTTTAAAAGAAACTCATCTTATGTCTTTATACGTCATATTTCAAGATATCAATAATATAAAAAGACATAAGTCAAATGCATGCTTAAAATAGTTTATGGATAGGAGAAAAATTATTTTATTATCAGAAGAGGCTGTACCCAAAAACATATGGGTTGCCTACGTACCCCGCAAGGGATCAAGCTCAAAACGTAGTTTTTTACATAAATAATTCCCACTAACCAAAAATATCAAATATTTCCACAATATCCATGTTAGTAACATGTCTTAAAGACTTTTGGAGCGAGTCCCTTAGTCAAGAGATCTGCAACCATCGCCTTTTTATTGATATGCTCTGTTTTCATCTGCCCTTCTTTGACTTTGTCTCTAACAACCAAATATTTGATGTCAATATATTTTGATCCACCAGAACTTTTATTATTTTTTGAAAAGAATACTGCTGCACTGTTATCACAGTAGATGGTGATCGGTCTTGAGATGGGATCAACAACTTTCAAGTCAGAGATGAAATTTCTTAACCAAACAACTTGGACTGTAGCCCCATAACACGCCATAAATTTAGCTTGCATAGTAGAAGATGTCACTAGAGTCTGTTTAGCACTTTTCCAAGAAATGACACCACCAACTAATGTAAAAATATAACCTGAGGTTGATTTCAAATCATCTTGACAACCAGCAAAACCATAATCCAAATATCTTACCACCTCAAGATAATCTGTATGCTGGAATGTAAGCATATAACTTTTAGTTTTCTTCAAATATCTCATAACTTTCTTAGCTACTTTCCAATGCTCTTGTCCTGGATTAGAATGAAATCTGCTAAGGACACTTACTGTGTATGCTATATCCGATCTAGTACAAACTTGAGCATGCATCAAACTCCCCACAGCACTAGCATATGGAATCATCTTCATAGATTCCCTTTCTAGCTCATTCCTTGGCCATTGAGTTTTGTTAAATTTATCTCCTTTTATGATATGTATATCACCAGGTACACAATTTTGCATATTAAACCTTTCTAGAACACGTCGTATATAAGCTTTCTGAGAAAGTCCCAATAAGCCACGATTTTCATCACGATGTATTTCAATGCCAAGTACATAGGAAGCTTTTCCAAGATCTTTTATCTCAAAATTAGCAGACAACATTTTCTTTGTCTTATGAAGCAACCCTAAGTTACTGCTAGCAAGTAGAATGTCATCAACATACAGTCCAAGGAAAATAAAATTTCTTCTACTGGTTTTAAGATAAATGCATTGATCAATAGTATTTTCAACAAAACCAAGAGAGGTCACAACCTCATCAAATTTCAAATATCACCGTCGAGATACTTGCTTAAGTCGATACAATGATTTGTTTAACTTACACACCAAGTTTTCTTTTCCTTTCACAACAAAACCTTCAGGCTGTTTCATATAAACCATTTCAGAAAGATCTCCATTCAAAAATGTTGTCTTAACATCCATTTGATGAAGCTCCAAATTGTAGTGTGCCATAAGAGCAATGATAATTTGAAAAGAATCTTTCGACGAAACAGGGTAGAAGGTTTCAACATAATCAATGCCCTCTCGCTGAGTGGAACCTTTTGCAACCAATCTTGCTTTCTTTCGTTCAACATTTCCTTTTGAATCTAATTTATTTTTGAAAATCCACTTGTTATTTACAGCCTTAGCATCTGGAGGAAGTTCAACAAGATCCCAAATTTTATTCCTTTCCATGAAATTCATTTCATCTTCCATGGCAGCTATCCAATTATCTGCATCAGGACTTGTCAATGCTTGGTTATAAGTCATAGGATCAATAATATGCCCAATATTAAAATCGCTCTCCAATAAATATGCAATATAATCATTGGGCAATGCAGATCTTCTTTCCTTTTGTGATCTCCTAGCTTGTGGCTCAGGAACCGATTCAATCGTTGTTTGAGAAATTAGAGATTCCTCCTAGTTCATCGGTTCTTCATTAACAACTTCACTTGCTTGAAAACCAACTCTTTCCTGTATGACAGGAACTGGAACAATAACTTGATTAGGTTCAACAAGTATTTCTCTCAACGTGGAACTCCCACTATCTCCAAAATCGTTCTCCAGAAACTTAGCAGTAATGGACTCCACAATTCTAGTGCTGCGATTTGGACAGTAAAATTTATATCCCTTTGATCTATCCGGATACCCAATATAGTAGTCAAGAGTTGATTGAGGGTCTAATTTCTTTTCAAATGGATTATAAATTCTAACCTCAGCTGGACATCCCCAAACTTTAAAGTGAGTCATACTTGACTTACGTCCTGTCCATAATTCAAAAGGTGTCTTTATAACAGCTTTACTTGGAACTTTGTTCAAAATATACATAGCTGTTTTCAAGGCTTCACCCCACAAATATTTAGGCAAATTTGTTCTACTCATCATACTTTTAACCATATCTTTTAGAGTTCGATTACGTCTTTCAGAAACACCATTCTACTCAGGTGTCCTTAGCATGGTGTATTGGGGTACTATTCCACACTCTTGTAAAAATTTTGTAAAATCACCCATATTTTGACCAGACTCGTCATATTTCCCATAGTACTCACCACCTCGGTAAGATCTTACAACTTTGATACTTTTCCCACATTATTTCTCTACTTCCAGTTTGAAAATTTTGAATTTCTTAAGTGCATGTGACTTGTCGTTAATCAAGTAAATATATCCATATCGTGAGAAATCATCAATGAAAGTTATGAAATATTTATTCCCACATTTAGTGGAAAGAAAAGGTCCACTGATATCAGTGTGAATTAAGTCCAAAATTTCATTACTCCTAGTAAAACCCTTCATCGTAGACTTAGTTAACTTTCTTCTTATACAATCTATACAGGTGTCAAAATCGGAGAAGTCTAAGGAAGGAAGTATCTCATCTTTTACTAATCTTTCCATTCTATCCTTAGAAATATGACCCAATCGCTTATGCCACAACATAGAGGATGATTCATGAATTAAAACCCTTTTCTTTGATACATTTGTAACACACGAGACTTCACCAA